ATTTACCTATGCCCGGCAGATGCACAGACAGCAAAGATGGCTGCCCCAGATATCCACGGTTCAGGGCACGGTGGCTCCAGTGAGAGTGTCTGCCCCAGCAGTCTGAAAGTGAAAATTATCCACTATATTACGGACAATTTTACGACAAAACTCATTTCATGACAAAGTTTTTAACAGAGTGTATAACTTTTTATTTTAGTCATGTTTAATGATAAATCGGTATTCCTGTAGAGATATGTACAACTATTTTATACATAAAAGGAGTGTTATAAAAGGTAGTACTTATATTTTCTGCTCTGTTTTGTGGCTTACACAATAATTTTTACACAACCACACTTTTAAATAAAAAGTCTACATCTCAATTTCACGTGCAAAACTACTACAAATAACAGTAAATAAGGTTTTCTCAAAGCATAAGGACCGAAATAATTTTTTTACACCATTTGGTCTTAACTTTGTATGTATCTATTGATTTGTGACAGCAATACCAAAACAATCAATCAATCAATCAATCAATCAATCAATCAATCAATCAACCAACCAACCAACCAACCAGTCAGTCAGTCAGTCAATCAATGAGAACTTACTCTGTTGCCCACATGTACACAGAACGTAGTCTGTTGAAGATAACAAAATGTTCACTACTGGAACCATGGCTGCTGCATAACTCCCTACCCAAAGCCCCTTCAACCACTGGATAATGCATCTAACATTTCAAAATAATAATAAATATATAAATGCATTTGACTAAAAGAAAATTTAAAAAAAATTCAGTTTCTATCATAAATTAACTTCATCTATAGTCTACATAATAAAGGCAATTGGGTATGGCAAAGCTCTCAAAAAAAGCTTTCAGTTTCTAGTCATGAGCATCAGTTTAATATAATTAGACAATGTGAAACAGCATGGATATTTCAAACATATATTATATCTGCATGAAGTGTGTTCATGTTGACAATATTATGTCTATTATAATAAAATATTCACTATCATATCATAGGCATTATATGAGGGTTAAAACTCAGGTAAAACATTGGCTTAAGTATATTACTGAACAAAATGTGTATACCTGCAGTCAAAAGCGATACAAATCTGATCAAATATTAATAAGTTTAAGGCAACAGACTTTGTAGTAGCAAATATGTAATATGCCATATGCTGCCTTAAACAGAAACATCATATTATGACTGCATCTTTTATTCATTTACAGTGAGTCTTTGTATTGATTTCTATGGAAAATAAGAAGGGATATCAACAGAATTCTATATGGTGTTCAAAAACGTCTCATTTATTCTTTACATTGAGCTTTTTCAAGACTTTTTTCTTTTTCAGTTAATCTTAAAATAAACATTTAAATACCTTTGAATCATCAAATTAATTTAATTCAGTACCAAAACAATGTTTTGGGAACAGACTTAATTCATTTTGATCCAGTTGAATAATTTAGTAATCAGTTGATTTAGGAAACAATTTAATTAAGCAGCCAGAATTAACATGTAAATAGTTAACCGTTGCCTAATTATACTTAATCTTGGCATGCACACGTGCATACACACACATGCACACACACGCATGTCTAACTTACCACTGCCATGATGTGCACAATGAATTTGTTAAAAAACACAAGAAAAAGTTAAACACAATAAATACAGAAAAATAAATCATCTGTTAATTGTGTTAGGAAAATTAAAACAGAATCATAGACCCCATTCCCATAGATTTTAGATCGATCTATCCCTGTGGGGAGTCTCACTAGATTACTGTCAGCTTAGCTGGCTTAAGCGTCTGTCCCGCCTACTAAAAGCTGTAAGGGGGTAATTAACTATGGTGCGTGCTCGGCCGACTGCAATTTAGCGTGAACCCCCAGGGAGTTAGGTTGATCTAAACCTAAATCTCTGGATCGATCTAAATCTCTGGGAATGCACTCATAGAAAAAGTATGAATAAAAATAAAATAAAAATGAAATAGTATCACTTACTATCAAGGAGACCACTATAAGTGGAGACTTTCCAAAACCTTGATTCAGTACAGCGCTGTTCAAACTTTGGCTTCTTTGTGAGCACAATGACAGTAATCCCTGGAGTAAGATGAAATTTAACATAATTTTTAAATCTCTGATGAAAAGAGTTACATGATCTGTTGTTTGAAGAAACTTGTATTTTAACTTCAGCTATGTAAAACTTATTAAATTTTTGTCCAGAATAAAATATTGATACCTGAATAAATATTGATAAATGCATAGATATTATTATTATTCAATGAATAGCATAGAATACAAGTTATCATCCAGGAATGTGAGCTCAGACAAAATTTGAAATGTCAAGATGTCATCACCAAACAAAACACAATACAACATTAATTGCTAATCTTGTAAAAATATTATACTTACCCTCACAAAGTAAAGAGTCAGCGACCAAGGTAAAACTATACCTTCGCAACAAAAATTTCTCTGAAATTGATAAATTGAAGAGCTTTCTGACCATCTACTTAACAAGAACATGTATCTTTCATTTTTTGTATAACCTTAAATATAATATTTCTTAAGATTCTTAAAATTCAAATAATTTTGACTATAAAGGCCTTATCAATGGATAAGATCTGTTAGATAACCTTTCTTGAAGCATAAATTCATTCAAAAAGAATTCATTTCCCAATAAGAATAAGCCGCTGTAAGTCTTGCCTTCATGCATTATTATTATTATTTTTAATGGTATTTTTATTATTGAGTATGTTATATTTAAAAACGCGATTGTTAATTACTTTATATCTTACCACGTATGTGTTTATTAAGTGTACAGAGGCCTCCAGAGTAGCTACAGTAAATGTGCTGCTCCACAACTCATCAACGTAGAATAGGTATGGAGACAATGACGCAGCCACTCTGTAGATAAAAACAAGAAAATATAAATAAAAACAAAAACTTGATTTTGTAATAAGTGGAGGCAAAATTTGTCTTTGATAAACTTGCCATATCCATTTCAGTTGTGTTGCCTCATTTTCTTTATCATGTTTTTTAAATCCTACTTGGTATGTTTGCACTTATAAAAAGGCTCTTTTTAGTACTCCTTTGAAAGATTTTGCATATCATTAAACTTGAAAACCTCCAGAAAGTAAAAAGTTGAAATGAAGAATGCACAAGGATAATTCTTTCTATTCTTTTTCCCTTTTCAAAAATCTATTTTCAACAAAATGCCTACCTCAGACAAGAACAGAGATCAGCTTGCATGTTGAGCTTGTCTTGCTCTCCATACTGTGCCAACCTCTGTGTGATGGTGAACAGCAACCATGACTTGTCTTGGGTGGAAGCTGCCTCTACAGTACTGCTTGAAAGGTACTGAGACAGTTCCTGGATATCATATCAATTCAAATGTTTAAATTTTATTAATTATCAGAACTGTTTAACCATCAAGTCCGATACAAATTAATTTAAAAGAAAGGACAAACCATCATTGCTATTTTATAGTAATTATAAAATATATATTATTATATTACAACCATGTTAAAGTAGCTTCTTCAAGGCATATCTCACCTGCAGAACTAACACCAACTCAGATCTTGTGCTGTTCTTTGGTTTGGAACAAAGGA